CCCACACTCTCGTGTTTTGGAGGTCTGAAGAAGCGAGATGGTGATGCTACAACTGTGAGTGGTACAAAACCTCTTAGCGCCAGCAATTTGCAAACACTGTTATGTTTTGGAGATCCAGGAAATCAAAATGGGAATACAACAATGATTTTGGGTAACACCAACAGTAATTTGCACACACTGCTATGTTTTGGAAATCCAAAAAATGGTAAGTTGCCAAATCGTCTCTTCTCACGTTTGAATCTGCTTCGAGCATTAGATTTGAGTTCGACTAACATTAAAGAACTGTCACATTCCATTAACAAATTGAAACTCTTGAGATACCTCAATTTGTCTTATACAAGTGTGAAAGGGCTGCCAGAATCAATTTGCGACCTTTGGTTTCTTCAGACATTGAAGCTTTCATATACATTACTTGGTGAATTGCCGAAAGAAACAGGGAAGCTGGTAAACTTGAAGCACCTGGAAATTGAAGGTACTCTTATAAACTATTTGCCTGTTGGGATAGAAAGGTTAACTAGAATCCAAAAGTTGAGTGAGTTCATTGTAAGTGATGGTGAAAGTAGGTGTATGCTTTGTGAACTTCGACCTCTAAGATTCCTCCAGGGAAAGCTAATCATTAGTTACTTGAGTAGACTTAAAAGCATTGAAGACACCCAAAAAGCAGACCTTGCTAACAAGGRTCAAATAGATTGGTTGGTGTTGGATGCTAAGAAACACTTCAGCTTGCGGAAACTGGGTCGCAGCACGCATTTGGCTTCTCTTATGCTAGACCATATCCATAACGAGGACACCCAATTGAATTCATCCAATGAAATTGAGAAGATGACAAGGATGCGTGATGTGTTTGAAGGCATCAAACCTCATTCCAATTTGAAAAAGTTAGAAATATGGAACTACATCGGATCTGAATTCCCCTTTTGGATGAAAGATGCATCATCACTCACAAATCTTACCTCTTTGAAGCTCGTCAAGTGCTTGAAGGCGGAGCATTTACCACAACTTGGTAAACTGCAGAGGCTTAAATTCCTTCTCATATGTGAAATGGATGAAGTGAAAAGCATAGGCAATGAATTCTRTGATGAGGGTARCAGCACAGAATGCTTTCCAGAGTTGTTGAGCCTGGTTTTTGAGAGAATGCGTAAATTGGAGAGGTGGGAAGTCACAAGGGAGGTGGGAGATATGCCTAAATTTGAGGAACTCATACTCCGAGACTGTCCTAGCTTGATATCTCTTCCAAGGTTCCACAAAAAACTGAATAAACTAGAGATTTATAATTGCGAGTCACTTTCTCTTAATCCACCTCTACCATCAGTGGAGCACCTTGTTCTGAAATACAATGATTACATGGTGAATGATAAGCAGCGTTCTTTGCCCAACATTCCGGAGCTCAAATCACTGAAAATTACATTATCATCTGACCTCAGGAGCTTCCCGGAGGGCTTGTGCAAGCTCAAAGCACTCAATTCACTTGATATTCACTTTTGTCCCAAGTTAAGATCATTGCCTGAAGAGCTAAATCAGATGACGATTCATCGACTCTGTATCGTTGGCTGTCCACTTCTAAAGGAAATTGATAGGTCGACAGTATCCCATATAGCTGATATTGAAATCGACCATGTAAAGATCCAAAACCACAACTAAATTGGCTCCCCCAAGGTACAGTTTTCTATTCTGATCTGTAATATATTTACCAATTTTCTGTTTAAATTCCACTCTTTTTTGTAATTTGCATTTAAATGAAACAAGAGGCTATACCTTATTCCAATGCAGTGTTTTAAAAGCCGTGGGAGGGGTATGCCTGGAAGGTGCCCCTCCAGACGAGACACCCCTAAAACGCCCTGAGGCGTATGTCAGAGGCGCTAACACTTGGTACACTTTAGGTGCAAGAAGCATACGTCTCATTTGCTTTTTTCATGAGGTATGCTAGAGGTATATGACTCATGCACATATCATGTAAAAAGATAGAAAAAGAGAAAAAAGCAAAAAGAAAAAGGAAAAAAGGGAAAGGAAAGGAAAGGAAAGGGAAGGGGAAGAAAAAGAAAGAAAAGGAAAGAAGAAAGAAAATGAGCCGGGGGCTTAGCCCCCGGACCTATGCATCTTCGTTTTTCTTAATATAAAAGATTTTATTAAAAAAAAAAAGTTCTCCCTCTTCTTTCTTCTTCCTCTTTTGCCTCCTTGTGTTCGGGAAGCTTATGCCTCTTATGTTCTGAACTACGCCTAATGCCTCTAGGTAGTGCCTTAGTGGAACACATCACCTCACGCCTCCACATTTTAAAACATTGTTCCAATGTTTACTTGTGTTGGATCAATTTTTCTCGCAGATCCTTAATTAATGAATTTCTTTGAGTTTTTACTTTTTCCTGCATGAGAAATGTGAGAAAATTTGATTCCAGGCGTGGATTTATAACTTGAAGGCAAACCAAGCTCCATTTGGGATTATAATGGGACTGATTCATCTGTTGAGCTCATCAATGGCAAAGATTTAAACTTTTGTACTGAGAGAATTATAAGATCCGTATTGTGCATGGTTTTGAGCATTGAAGAACAGGGCAAGGAAAGAAATGATGATCAAGTCGATCTAGCAGGCATCCGATTCATAAGTGTGGTAGGCCTAATTCATAGGGAGAAAAACAAATCCAGTCGTAGACTTGATGGAATTGAAGTTCAGTTCCGTTCTTTTCTTTTCTCTTCTTTTTTCCTCCTCCTTAATCTAGAGTTGTACCGCATATTGTGAGGGATTGATGTTTGTTGTAATTTATATTTCTACAATTAGAGGCTGCTGATTTCTTCTACAGACGATATAGTTTATTGTTTGCCAAATGCCAATGTTCAATATTATTTTATTTATATCTATATTACTATTAGAAATACAAATGGGGTCTCATATTTTGGGACATTTTCTTCATTAAAATACCACTATCGTCAATCCACGATGTCATAAAACTCACCATGATTTTAACCCATTTCTCTTAAATTCACAATAAATCAAATTTTCCATACTCTCGTTCTTCTTCTTCTCCTTTCCCCTCTTTCTCCCTCTTTCCCTCTTGCCTCTTCCCTACTGTGACAGGACACGGAAATGAGCAAATGCTCCCTGCATTCAAATTTTGTTCCCAGGACCTTGAGGAGTCCTAGCAGCTCTAAAATAGGTGCAGTTCTTGTTTCTGAGACAGTGTGTGTGATACCAATAACATTCAGAATTGACCTAACAATTAATGATGATAAGTTTTAATGATACAACCAATCTTTGGGAAGACAAATTTCATGGGCTGTGACTGCCCCTAGGGGTGTAAGCTCCACTTTTGTTGACGTATCAGTAGTAGGGATTTAAATAAATGAGATTGGATTTAAATCAGGATATATTTGAAAACGATCCAACATTGTTCATGTCAGATTCGATCCGATCTAAAGATCTGATTGGATCTGATAAGACTCAATTTGAATTCAAATTATATAAGTAATTCGGATCTTTGGATCTGATTTGATCTGACTTGTTTTTTTTTTAAATAATAAATTATTAAAAGAAAAATAAAATATACTAATTTAAATAAAAAAAATTAAAAGCAAAAAATACAAGTATTTTTTAATTATTTTCATCATATATATATGTGTGTGTGTTTTATAAAAAATAAATATTATAACAAATTTATATATATACATATATTTATAAATAAATAAATAACATATATATGTATTATATATATTTATATTTATAAATATATAATATACATCAGATTGGATAGGGGGTGATCCAAATCCGAACCGATTTCTGATTGGATCATATTATTCGATCCAATCGATCCGAATAGGGGGTGATTTGAATTCGACCAAATAGGATCAAATCGGATCATGATCCGATCCATTTGCACCCCTACTTAGTAGGTATGGCAATGGAACGGGTTTGGGGACGGTTTTGTAAATTCTAGACCCTATCTGCCTCTCTAGGCCTCCTAACCCATACCCTCTCCAAACTCCATAGCAGGTTAAAATTCAAACCCTCCCTACGCATGAAAATGCACTTACTTTTCTATTATTTTCTTTTAAATATAAGCAATAAACAAGTAAAATGACTAAACATCAAAATTTCCAATTATTTGATTAAAGCATTTAAAAAACATATAAATTATCTTTGTCAGAAAAAAAAAAACATATAAACTATCAATTATTCTTCACATAAAATTCAAAACATTCTTAAATTCAACACCTAATACATAATTTCAAGTCTTTAAACAATATGTGGGTCAAGGAGGGTAGGGTTTAGCATAATACCATACCCTACTTGTACCTGTATAGGTTGTAAAATCCCAAAACCCATCCTTACCCCAAAATACATTTTCAAAAGCAAAAGGGCCTTCCCTACTGGGGTGAGACATATTTCATGGTCTATGGCTGCCCCCTTGAGGGCGGAATTGCTCTTCTTTTGTTGACACTAGTAAATGTGGATATGCTTTGCACATGGTAATTCTAGATGATAATAATTATAGTAATAATATATCCAAAATTTTCTATAAACTTTATGTATTTTTCATTTTTGTTTTTTATTATTAATCAGATGCAGATTGCAAAATCCAAATCTAATTACATAAACGCATCATCCATATATTTGATAATCAAATCGAATTGTGAAGTTTCAAGTATCATTGATAGGCCTACCTACTTGTGTAGACTCTTTTTTTTTTGTAGTGTATTATTTTTTTGGTGTATTTATTTTCTTTTGTTCATTTATCAAACAAATGTAAGATTTAAATAGAGGAAATTGAATGAGGTGAAAAGTGGTAATTCAATTTACAATTTACCATTAAATAGAGAATAAAAAATGAGTATTTTAGTCACTATTTTAAAAATCGAACCAGACCAATCGAAATTGTTTAGCCTGGGAATTGGTTAGGTCATCGATTCCAATCTAGTCATGAATTTCTATTTTACAAAAAACCATTGAAATGAACAGAGAACCACTAACCCGGATGGTTTAACCATTAAAAATTTTGACCTGGTTATGGTTCTCGAGTTGCTTTCAAAATAATTTCAATTTTTTATTTATTTTAAAATAGAAATTAGAAAATAAAAAATTCAGAAAAGAAACTTACATATCTCATAATCTTATTCGACTATTCTCAATGGCCAAAATTACTTAGGGTTTTTAATTTTTTCCATTTTGATTTTGAGCTTTTTGATAATTTTTGTGATTTTTTTAAGTTATAACAACAAAAAAATTGAAACTCCAAAGAAGAAATTGAAAAATCGATACAAGAAATGAGAGATTTAACATCGATCTTAGATTAGAAATTTGAGGTACACCAATGAACCAAATGATCTGGGATCTAAGATAGATTTAAAGAGATGAGAGAGATAGCCACCGCCAATGATTCCTTCTTCTTTTTCTTCCTCATCTTCTTCTTCTTCTTCTTTCTCACTTCTCAGCTTTAACTAGTTACCTCATTCTCAAAATATTACACTCTCCTCTCATAATAATGTATATATAGTGGACTTTTACCAATTTGACTCGCTCAAACTGGATGGTTGAACCACTGACCCGAAAACTAGAAGCCGAGACGAGGTTATATTTTCGGGTTGGTTTTTAAAACCCTGATTTTAGTCAAAAGAAAGTTCCACAATGTCATTCATATTTTTAATAGTAGTGTAAATATAGAAGTATTCATACTTTTTGTTTAATATGAAAAATATATGATATTATACATGTGTCTAAATGCTTTTTTTTTCTAAATTTATGTATTTTTTTCATTCTTATATTTTTAAATTTTATTAATTTTTATTATTTATTTATGACATTAAAGGTCAACGCATTTAAGCCCCAAAATTTGAACTATTTATTATTAATTTTTATATTTCATTTTTATAAAAAAGAAAATAATTCTTGTTTATTACACTTATTCTTCAATTTGATTATTAAAAATATCATATATGTGTCTAATTTTTTTTCTACATTTTTTTTAATTTTCTATATTGATTTCTATTTTAAAAATTTTATTACATAACTTTAACTTCTTAGATTGATCAATTTGATTCAGATAGTCAAATTGCTTAGCCACCACTTGGGTAAATAATGATTTTGTTTTTGAGCAAGTCTTAAAATATATGGGTTTATATTGTTATAGATATTGACATTGATCTAATTAATAGTATTTATTGGTGAAAAATAATTTAAAAATATAGGATTTAATAAGAGAAAATGGGATTTAATACCTTAAGAATATGACTCAATGAGAGGGGATTAAATGAGGTGAAAAGTAAATAATTGAAGTTACATTTTCAACCCTTACAATTAGAGATGGATTAAATACACAAATATGGTCATTTTAGTAGTCATTAAAGGCTTTAAAGTTATAATAAAATGACTTTTATACTCTTTCTCTACAAAGAAATAGAGGGTAAATTTAGTCTAGAAAAAGTTTTCATTACATCCACACATTTATATATAGTATAGATAGATAGGCATTTCTCCTAGTAATCTTTGAAATGCAATTTGCCCTAGAAAAAGGGAGAAATTAGTCTTACTCAAAGAAAATATAAAAACACATTATACAAAGAATGCAAGTTGTTACCATATTCAAGGGCGAAGAAAAGGCCTAAAATCTACATTGAAACACAAATAAACGCTAACACAACTTTTGCTGGGAGTAGAACTGTTGAAGTTTGTGATGCAAACCCACAACTAATTGTAACTAGTGAGCTCTAGACTCGTCAACCAATATTTTTAGACGTTTTTAAACAATTATTTACATGTTTTCGTTTTTAAATAATTTTTTATAGGGATAGTTTAGTTTGGTCATGTGAACTATTTAAGTTCTTAGGCAAACAACTTCTATTAATGATCATTAATAGTGATATGATGAAAGATCAGTTTTGGACAATAAAAGCTCATTGACAGGGGGCTCTGTAGAGGTTTTGAAAGCTCAGGGTGTGTTTAAGATAAATGAGAAAAAGTCAAGGTGAATTTTAGATAATATCCCTTAAATAAAAGTTAAAAATAGATAGTAATACACAAACTATAGGTAAAAAAAATGAAAAGAAACATCTAAAAACATCTCTATTGTCATAACATATTCAACAAATATAAATATGACAAATAAGAAGTACTAGAAATGGAATACAAAATTTAAATTTAGASAAAAAGCAAAATCTTTTTCCCATTTGGGTGGTGAGACAATGGTTAAACTATTAGGTCAAATGGATTAATTCATTATGCCATAATTAAATAATAAAATTTTAAAACTAAATAAAAATAAAAATATATATATAAAAAATTTGGGCACATATCTAATCATATAATCATCATATTAAACAAAAATAAGTGAGATAAATAATAATTAATTTTATTAATGATGGGAGCGGGATACAAAATTCAAAATTGACTAAAAATGATTTTCTATTCGTGTAGGTTGCTTGTTTAACAGTTCAACCATCCAAGTCAAAGGGACCTATGATATCATAGTTTAGTCAATGAATTAAAGAAAATACAATAAAATAGATGTAACATTCACACCACACTTGTGGTGTGGATGAAAACACACCACCTAATTTCTTATTTACACTACATAACACCCTCTAAATTGGTGAAAATGGCCAAAACTAGTGGAATGAGAAAGATTGRTCTCACCATTTTCTTATCATACATGGGAGATCTAAAGTAATGCATTTTCTCTTTAAGTGTTTGTGAAATGTTACTCTCTAAATGTATCTAAAAGGGTTCTCTCTACTAAYATGTAACATCCTTGTCATATACTTAAACATAGAAGCAAGGGCTAAATGTAAATGTAAATGAACAATAAAGCCCAACTACAAATGAACAATAAAAATTAAATAATAAATGAAAAATAAAAGTAAAC